CCTTATCTTTCTTGATCTGTCAGCTTTTGAAATTGAGGAACCTTCCTTACCTGCTTTCTACTGGAAACATCTTCCCTTGCCTTTTACAATAATACAGTGTTCCACTTTTCCTCCTTTCTCATGACAATGTCTTCTGAGTCTCCTCTTCTTCCTCCCTGTTCAACGTTTACAGGATTGACAAATGCCAGAGTCTGGTTTATAAGATCAGCTTTTCTCTCTCCAGAGGCTCATATGCAGTCTTACACATGCATGCAAATGAATCTAAACTTATATATCTAAGTCTGAAGGCATTCCTGAACTGCACATTTATATACCCAACGCTGACTTGATATTCTGACTTGGAAGATCTGAAACTTATCATGGCAAACACAGATCTCTGCACTTTATACAGACCTCTTCTAAACAATGTCATCTCCACCTACCTAGTTTACTCAGTCAAAAAATATGTTATTTTCAACTCCTGTCTTTCCCTCTCTTCATCCTACATCCAACCTGAATGTTTCCCAAATCCACCAGGGACTATTGGCCATTATCCTTCATCTGGATGACTGAGAGCTGTCTGACAGGCCCTTTCCTAGTCGTAGTGGAACATTCTTTCCCCCAATTTTCTCTGTCTTTACTGATGTTACCTCATATTTTTCCTGGCTTCTACATTTGCCTTTTAATGGATGCCCTAACTCTGCAACCAAAGAGTCCTGTGAAAATACAAATCAGATTTGACACATCCTATAGTAGCTTCCTCTTACTTAGAATAAAATTTGAGCTTATCATGACCTGCAGATCCTTAAAAGGTCTGTTCCTGAATTCTGTGGCCACATTTCCCACAATTCTTAATTCTACAGAATGTTCTGTTAAAAACTTAAATCAGATTTTGTAATTCCTTAGATTAAAAACCTTCAAAGTCTAGTAATTCTTACCACACTGTGAAATGTTATGTCTGTTAAGAGTATTTTTGGCACCAAGTAATGGAAAAACTAATGGTGCCTTAGGCAAAAGGGATTAATTTTTCTCACAGAACGAGAAATCCTGAGTAGCAGTTGGTGGTATTGGTGCAGTTTTGAAATGATTCCATGAAGCGCTCAGATGCTTTTCTTTTTCTCTGCCATCCTTTGTATGTGGGCATGTGACCTTAAGTTTGATGCCTCGTGGTCCTGAGAAGGCACTTACAGCTACGAGGCATGACGTCAGTATCATCTGTGTGCAAGATAAGAAAAAGGTAGAAGAGGTGAGAGCTGTAAAAGCAAAATTATTCCTGCTCCAAGGTCTTTGCACTGATCACTTCTTCTAGGAATGAATTTTCCTCAGATTTCCATATGGTTTGCTCCCTGTAACTCTTCGGGTCTCAGCACAAATGTTATATATCAGAGATGAGTTACTGATCCCAGTGGCATTTCCTAGTTGTTCACTCTCACCATATACTTGTTCTTTTTTTTTTTTCTCATAGAAATCTGTATCATGGTGCTAGGGATGCTGCCACAAAGTAGCACAGACTTGGTGGCTTAATGTCTGGGTCATTTCAGGCTGCCATAACACAAATACCATACAGTGAGTGGCTGGAGCAACAGAAATCTATGTCTTACTGTTCAGGAGGCTGGGAAGTCCAAGGTCTAGGTGCCTGTTTATTCAGTTCCTGGTGAGAACCTTCTTCCTGGTTTGTGGACGGTCACCTTCTTGCTGTGTCCTCACATGACAGAGAGGGAAAGGAAGCAAACTCTCTGTGCTCTTTTTATGAGAGCACTGATTCCATCACGGAAGCTGTACTCTCATGACCTGATCACCTCCCAAAGGTCCCATCTCCAAATACTGTCACCTTGGGGTATAGGGGCTCAACATACAAATTGGGAGGTGGGGCATATTCAGGCCATAACCCTTAAACAACAGAAACTTACTGTTTCCTATTTTGGAGTCTGAAACGAAGACTGGCACCTTCTCAGGGCTGTGAAGGAAGGAGCTGTTCAGGCCTCTCTCCTTGGCTTATAGATGGTCATCTTCTCCCTGTGTCTTCACTCATCTTTGCTTTGTGTATGTGTCTGTATCTAAATTTTACCCTAATGACCTCATTTTAACTTGATTACTTCTGTGAAGACCCAATCTCCAAATAAGGTCATGTTCTCAGGTACTAAGGGTTGCTAATTCAACATAGGAATTGGGAAGACGGCACAATTCGATCCATAACAAACTCAATAAGTATGTACAAAATGAATGGACAGGTTTTAATCATAGTCACCATCTACATGAAGCACTTTATCCTGCCTCCTGAAATTCTCACAATAATGCTACATATATTCTCTTTTAGAAATGAGAAAACCATAGCTAGAGATATAGTGAACAGTATAACAGGATAGTGGAGGGAAGGAAGAAAATAAAGGCAGGAATGTCTCCCTAAAAACAGTGAGGAAAATGGACATCTTCATTATCTTTGTCACACTGGATCATCATCAGACAAGAAGACTGAAATAGAGAGTTTTGACAGGGGTCAGCAAACTCATTTCTGTAGAACACTTATTTTAGGTTTTTGAGTAGCACGATTTCTGTCACAACTACTCAACTCTGCCATTGTAGGATGAAGCAGCCATAGACAATACACAAATGAATGACTGTGGTTGTGTCCCAAATAAAACTTTATTTACAAAAGCCGGTGGTTCCCCAGATTTGTCCCAGAGGTCACAGATTGTTAAAGCCTTGTTTAAGGAAATTTTCTCTTTGATTTTCTTTCTTGTGGTTTTCCTTAATGTGAATTAATTGTATGAACTTTAAAAAACTGTGTTGACCTGCTGTCTTTGAGATGCACAGCATTTACTTCCCTCTGTTAGAGAGGATTGTTGTAAACCACCCAAAACCCAGGAAAGTCCACAAATGTCCTCTGTCATGTTCTCTTCCCCAGGAAAGTCTTCGACACCTCCTGTGACAGTGTCAACTGATTTCCCCGGTGATGGTGCAGGAGAGCTATGTGGACAGTGGAGAGGTAAAGGGACAGAGGTGCAAAGCCTAACAAACCTGAGTTTCGTGTCTGGCTGAGGGATGGACAAACAGGTGGCTTTGGTGCCAATTGTTTCAATTCTCTGTGAGTTGTTTTCTTTCCTGGTGAGATTACAAAACAAATCTTGTTTATCTACGAATATAGTTCTTAATAAACCTTAGAGGTAATCTGGGCACATATAATTCATAAATAGGCAGGGTAAGAGTAACCTGAGGTAGGGTGCTGAAGAATTCTCCCCTGTTGCCTAAATATTTATATATTTTCAAGTTGTGAGTCCCTGTTCTACAAGAACGGACGCATGTTAGTCACAGCTGCCATTCACTGAATGTTTACAACGTGCCAAGGGCTCCTTGTGGTGCCTTCTCCTGTTTCCTTTACATCTCGAGATGGTCCAGTGAAGAAGGCCCTACACAAGAATGCCACACCTTGTGAGTTTCTTGTATTTTTTTTCCTGATTATGGGCTTTAAGGGCTCAGTGTGATTTTTTTTCTCTTCTCACAATCTGCCCCTGCCCTGATCTAGTCCTTGGAGTTTTTCTTTTTTAACATCTAGACTCTGAGTCAGATGGAGCTCCCCATCTACCCCACCCTCCATGCCCCAAAGTGGGGCCCCATGGACCTGAATCTCATTTTAAGCAGTTCACTACGAAAGCAACCTGGGGAACAAGTGACAACAGAAATGAACCTGGGAGTTAGACACCTGATAAAGGTTTTGCAAGAGTGAACCCTGATCTGAGACTTTAAGGAGAAAGAAAATTATTTTTTTCCTTATTCCAACAGTAATACATACATTTTGCAATGTGGTAGACTAAATATCCTAAAAAGCCTAAATATCCCAAAAAATCCTAATATAAAACCCCTACAAATGCTAGATAAAATATAGCAAACATCCTTTAAATATATAGCCGAATCTAAGAATATAAGAGAAATCTCTGGGGGCCATAAACCAAGAGCGAGCTGGAAACCTGTGTGGCCATTCATCCTGATGCACTGACTTCCCAGGGAACACCTGTCACTTCTAAAACCAAGAGGCTTTCATTTTAATGTTAAACAAGAGAGAAGATGAGGCTTTAGACTCACACAGGATGGGGAATGGACCTTAGATACTCCTCCACAGCCAGGACCTCAAGGGGTACATTGTGAATAAAGAAATATACTAGAAAAGAAATCCACCTGCTGTCAAAGAGAAAGGACAAGGACACCTGCTTATATCATGGCTTTAGCTCCAGGGTAAAAAAAAAAAAAAGTCTTCCCTGATGTAAACAAGGCCTTCCTATGCGTGGGCTTGGGATTTGAGCCTATAGGACCTGAGTGTCTAGGAAACCTTTGTCTGAGGAATTAAAGTGAGTCTTGTTTAAGAGGACCCCTGACCCCCAAACCCTCAGGGCAGAAAGGAGAGGACCTGGCAAAAGCAAACACACCTCCTCCAGGAGATTTATGTCCTTACTCAGGTTCTGCAAGATTCTTATACTTTAATCTCCAAATACGACTTCACAGTTCAAAATTTCAAAACATGAGGGGAACAAATCATTGTGTGTGGCAATGTTAGCCAAAGCAATAAAAAACAAAATTAGATGCGGAGGGTGTTCTGACGTTGAATTATCTGACTCAGGGTGTAATATAAATAGTTTTATGTCTTTTTGTCAGTACCACACGGATTACTATACACTTACAGTTAAGTTTTGAAGTCTAACTTTGTTCTTTCTCAAGATTGTTTTTGGCTATTTTGGGTTCCTTTAGATTCTTATGAATTTGGGATAAATTTCCTAAATCTGCCAAAAATGTCATTGAGATTATGTTAGACATTGTATTAAACCTGTAGGTTGCTTTAAGTAGCATTGACATTTTAACAACATTTAGTCTTTGAATCCAAGAGCACAGGATGCCTTTTCAGTGTTGGTGTCTTTTAAAAAATTTTGTAGCAATGATTTCTGGTTTTCGGTGTACAAGTTCCCCTCCACACACACTCTGAAAAATAATTTTTATTGAGATCCCACCAGCTGCACAATCTGCTCCTGACATTAGGCTCCTTCTTCCTTTGAGATTCTGTCTTTCTTAAGTGGTCCCATGAATGCTTCCTTTTCCTCCATTGTCTGGAAGCAACCCTGGCCAAACTGGGAAATGGTGTGGATAAACATCAGGTCGATCTTCTCCAGGGCCTACCGTTTGGTCTACACCAGCAAGGACTCGCGGAGGGTGAGCACTTGCTTCTCAGTTCCCACCACACAGCCTTTCAGCATGACGAAGTCGTTGGTCACTTCATTGTAGTGGACAAAGCCACCCAGAGGGTTGATGTCCTTGTCAGACAGATCATAATCGGTGGAGGCGTTCTTGATCAGTTTGCCGTCCTTGATGAGGCAGCCCTGGCCAATCCTGTAGATCTTCTTGTTGATCTCAGTGTGGTGGTTGTAGCCCTTCTGCCCAGCCTGGGCCATGGAGAAGGCCCCCTGGGCAGGATGCCACACCCCAATACAGGCCACCTGGTGCAGCCCTCGGTGGATCTTGCAGGGCAGCTTCTTGGTGTGCCAGCAGCTGGTGACCCCTTTGTAGCCTTTGCCCTTGGTTACCCCAATGACATCGACCATCTCGTCCTGTCCACACACCTGGCTCACAGAGACCTGCTGCTCCAGCTTCTCACGGGTCCAGTCCAATTTTTCAGCCACCATGCCTGTATCCACCTGGATCTCCATGCGGGGAGCCTTCTTCTGGCGCAGAGGAAACAAGCTCATCTGGGTGTGGGTGATGACGGGGATGACCTGGCAGTACTTCTTCATGCTGCTGAAGTCCTCCTCCAGCCGCTTCTTGCCATCGTCATCCTGCCACTCCTTGCAGTACTTGGTGAAGGCCTTCTTCTTAGATTTATTCCAGTTCTTATAGAAGCACCTGTTGCATTCATCACTGATGTGCTCGGCAAAGATGGTTTTGAAGGTGCAGAGGCCACAAGGGGCCTCCACGTAGCCCACGAGACCCACGATCACCATGGGCGGTGTCTCCACAATGGTCACAGCCTCCACAACTTCCTCCTTGTTCACCTTGGATCCTGGCCTATCCACCTCAGGCATGATGTGGGTCATGCCAGCCTTGTAGCCCAGGAAGGCTGTGAGGCGGACAGGCTTGGAGGAGCCATCCTTGGGGAAGCTCTTCACCTTCCCGCGGTGCCGGCTGCTGCGCTTCCGAGGCAAGAAGCCAGGGACCCATAATCGGTGGAGTGGGGAACTTCCATGAGACATCCCACCACCAAGCGCTGCCGGTAGAGCTCGGTGTACAAGTCTTTTACCTCCTCAGCTAAGTTTATTCCTAAGTATTTGCTTCATTTTGATACTATTGTAAATGAAATTGTTTTCTTTATTTCCTTTTGAATTTTTCATTGTGAATGAATAAAGAGGCAACTTATTTTTGTGTGTTGATTTTGTATCCTGAAACTTCACTAAATTATCAGTTCTAAGATATTTTGGTGTGGAATACTTAGCATTTTCTACATATAAAAATATTGTCTGTGAACAGATATAATTTCACTTCTCCCTTTCCAATTTGAATGTATTTTATTTCTTTTTTCTTGCCTAATTACTCTAACTAGGACTTCCAGAACTATGTTGAATGGAAGTGATGAAAGTAGCCCCCCTTGTCTTGTTACTGAGCTTAGAGGGAAACCTTTGTCTTTCACCAGTGAGTATGATGTTAGCTGTGGGCTTGTCGCACACGGCCTTTATTATGTTGAGGTAGTTAACTTTTATTTCCTGTCTGTTGAGTGTTTATGTCATTAAAAGGTGTTACATTTTGCCAAATGCCTTTAATGCATCAGTTGAGATGATGAGGGTCCTCCCCCCTTCATTCTGTTCATTCTGTTACACTGATTACCATTTGTGTGTTGAACCATCCTTGCATTCCAGAAATAACTCCCCGTTGGTCACAGTGTATAATCTTTTTAATGTGCTGCTAAATTCTGTCAGCTAGTATTTCCTTGAGGATTTTAGCTGCAACTTTTTTCAGGGATATTTGTCTGCTGTTTTCCTCTTTTGCAGTGTGCTTGTCAGGGTTTGGTAGCAGAGTGATGCTGATGTCATACGATGAGTTCGGAAATATTCCCTCCTTTTCAATTTTTTGGAAGCATTCGAGGGGGACTGGTGTTAATTCGGTGTGTTTCTAGGAATTTGATGTACAATTTGCTTATAGTACTCTCTTATCCTTTTTATATTTGTAAAGTTTATTGTAATGTCCCCTCTTTCATTTCTGATGTTAGCTTTTTTAGTTACTCTAGCTAAAGTTTTGTCAAGTTTGTTAATGTTTTTGAATAACCAACTCTTTGTTTCATTGATTTTTCTCTATTAGTTTTTTATTATCAATTTTGTTTATCTCAGTTCTAATTTTTATCATTTTATCCCCCTGCTAGCTTTGGGTTTACTTTCTTCTTCTTTTAAAGTTCTTTAAGGTGCTTAGATTGTTGTTTTGAGATTATTCTTTTTGTAAATATAAGCATTTACTGCTATAAATTACCCACTCAGCACTGCTTTTACTGAACCCCATAGATGTGGGCATGTGTTTTCATTTTCATTTGTTTTATAATATTTTCCAATTTGCCTTGTGATTTCATCATTGATCCAAAGGTTAAGAGTATGTTGTTTAATTTCCACATGTTTCAGGATTTTTTAGATTTCCTTCTATTGACTTCAAATTTTATTTCTTTGTTATCAAAATAGATACTTTGTGTAATTTCAGTCTGAAGTTCATTAAGACTTGTTTTTTGGCCTAACATATGGTCTGTCCTGGAGACTATACCATGTGCACTTGAGGAAAATTGTATTCTGCTGTATGTTAATATAGTATATAATATTATGCAGGTCCTCTATTTGTTTTTTATCTTCTTCATGGGTAGTCTATTATTATTTCTTTCTACATACTTATTTAGCATTGTATTATAGCACACAAAGCACTGATTTTACGAGGATTTTGTTTCACCTATCCCCACCTTTTTCCTCTTTGGCAACCATCAGCTTGTTCTCTTGATCTATGGTTCTCTTTCTGGTTCATTTTGCATATTCATTTGTTTTGTTTTAGATTTCACATGTAAGTGAGATCATATAGCATTTTTCTTTTTCTGTCTTATGTCTTAGCATAATACATTTTAGGTCCATCCATGTTTTTACAAATGGCAAGATTTCAGTCTTTTTTATGGCTGGTAATATTCCATTGTATGTAAATACCATATATTTTGTTATTGTTAAAAATGTAGTATATTTTATTTTACTTTTTGTTTTTCAATTACAGTTGACATTTAATATTATTTTACATTAGTTTCAGGTGTACAGCATAGTCATTACATAATTCTGTAATCTACAAAGTGATCTTCCTAATAATTCTAGTACCCACCTGGCACTATATATAATCATTACAATATTATTGATTATAATCCCATGCTGTACTTTACATTCCCATGACTTTTTTGTAACTACTAATTTGTACTTTGGAATCCCTTCACCTTCTTCTCCCAGCACCCGCCCCTACCAACCTTGCTCCCATCTGGCAACCCTCAGTTTGTTCTCTGTATCTATGACTCTGTTTCTGTGTTGCCTGTTTTGTTCATTCGATTCCACATGTAAGTAATGTCATGTGTTATTTCTCTTTCTCTGTATGACTTATTTCACTTAGCATAATACCCCCAGGTTAACCATGCTGTTGCAAATGGTACAAGTTCATTCTTTCTTATGGCCTGGTAACATTTCATTGTATATATGCACCACTTTATCGAACCATCTATTGATGGGCATTTGGGTTGCTTCCATATCTTGTTATTATAAATAATAGTACAATTAACATAAGTTTGCATATCTCTTTTTGAATTAGTGTTTTCAGTTTCTAAAAATATATATTCAAAAGTGGAATAGCTGGGTTATAAGGTAGTTTTATTTTTAGTTTTTTGAGGAATGTTGATACTGTTTTTGATAGTGGCTGTAACCATTTGCAGTCCCACCAATAGTGCACGACAACACTTGTTTTTGTTGATCTATTGATGCTATCCATTCTGACAGGTGTGACGTGGTCTCTCACTGTGGTTTTAATTTGCATTTTTCTGATGATTAGTGGTGTTTGGCATCTTTTCATATGCCTACCGGACAAAGAGGCCATCTGTATGTCATCTTTGGAGGAATGTCTATTCAAGTTCTCTGCTCATTTTTTAAATAAATCGTTTGGGTTTTTTGGTTTGAGTTGTATGAGTTCTTTGTGAATTTTGAATATTAACATCTTATCAAATGTATCATTGCTGAATATCTTCTCCCATTCAATAGGTTGTGTTTTGTTTTGCTGGTGGTTTCCTTTGCTGCAAAAAATCTTTTTAGTTTAATGTAGTTGCATTTGTTTCTATTTTCTTTTGTTTTCCTTGTTTGAAGAGGTATATCAGAAAAACATTACTAAGAGCAATGTCAGAGATTGTACTGCCTATGTTTTCTTCTAGAAGTTTTATGATTTCAAGTCTTATAATCCATTTTGAATTTATTCTTATTGACCATATAAGAAAGTGGTCTAGTTTCATTTTTTGCATGTAACTGTCCAATTTTCTCAACACCATTTATTGAATAGACTTTCTGTATCCCACTGTATTTTCTTGCCTCTTTTGTCATATTTTAATTGACCATATAGGCATGGAGTTGTTTCTGGGCTTTCTAATCTGTCTCACTGATTATGTGTCTTTTTTATGCCAGTACCATGCTGTTTGGATTACTGTAGACTTGTAGTATAGTTTGATATCAGGTAGCATGATACCACCCACTCTGTTTTTCTTTTACAAGATTGCTGTGGCTGTTTGTGGTCTTTTGTGGATCCATATAAAATGTTTTGGATTATTTGCTCTAGTTCTGTGAAAAATGCCATTGATATTTTGTTACCTATTGTGTTGAATCTATAGATTGCTTTGGGTAGCATGGTCATTTAATGATATTAATTCTTCCTCTCCATGAGCCATTGTATATGCTTCCATTTATTTGTATATTCTACAATTTTTTTTCAATATCTTATAGTTTTTCCAAGTCTAGGAGAATACCTCTTTGGTTAAATTCATTGTTAGGTATTTTTAATGTAATTGTAGTGGGATCATTTTCTTAGTTTCTCTTTCTAATAGTTCTTTATTGATGTACAAAAATACAACTCATTTCTGAATGTTATTTTATATTCTACTTTACTGAACTTATTAGTTTTAGTAGTTTTTGGTGGAATCTTTAGGGTTCTCTTTATAGTGTCATGCCATTGGCAAATAATGACAGTTTTACTTCTTTCCAATTTAATGCCTATTATTTCTTCTTGTTTGATTGCTGTGGCTATGACTTCCAGTACTATGTTGAATCCGAGAGGGGAAAGTGGACATCTCTATCTTATTCTTGATCTTAAGGGGAACACTTGTAATTTTTGCCCAATGAGTGTGATGCTGGCAGTGGGTTTGTCATATATAGCCTTTATTATGTGTAGGTATGTTTTTTATTCTCATTTAGCTGAGAGGTTTTTCTTTTTTTTAATTATAAATGGGTACTGAATTTTGTCAATTGCCTTTTCAGCATCAATTGCATGATTATATACTTTCTATCCTTTATTTTATTTGGTGGCTATGTTAATTGACTTTCAGATATTGAACCAACTTTGCATTCCAGGAACAAATTCTACTTAATCATGATGTGTGATCTTTTTACTGTATTGCTGAATTCAGTTTGGTAATATTTTTTTGAGAATTTTAGCATCTATGTTCATCATGGATATTGACCTATAATTTTCTCTCTTTGTAGTATCTTTATCTGGTTTTGGAATCAGGATAATGTTAGCCTTATAAAATGACCGTGAGCATCTTCTCTCCTTGAATTTTTTGAAATAACCTGAGAAGAATTGGTGTTAATTATTCTCAGAATGTTTGGTAAAATTGACCTGTGTAGCCATCTAGTCCAGGACTTGTTAGTTGGGAGTATTTTGCTTCCTGCTTCAATTTTATCAGTTGTAATTAATCTGTTCGGTGTTGCTCTTTCTTCTTGATTCAGTCTTAGAAGATTGTGTGTTTCTAGGAATTTATCCATTTTTTTTCAGGTTGTCCAATTTGTTGGCATGTAGTTGTTCATAGTGTTTTCTTATAATCCTTTGTATTTCTGTGGTGTCAGTTGTTACTGCTGTCACTTTTCTGTCATTTCTGATTTTATTTATTTGGGCCCTCTCTCTCTTTTTTAATTATGAGCCCGGTTAAAGGTCTATCAATATT